CCACAGAACTTGCCAGTCTGATCCAGATTGAGCGAGCCAAGAAGCAACCACGAGCGAGTCTTCCTTTTTGAGTAGTCAAACACTCCAGAGAGTTCATTAAAAGAACTATTAAAAATCCAAGAGTTGAACCAATGATACCAGGGTTAGCTAGAAGCGAGACCACTCAATTTTCAAGTCGCATTTAATAGTTTTCAACTGTTTGCTTCAATTTCTGACATAGTACATAGAAGGAACTCAATTCGTTCCATCAAATACTTTAGCGATTCCGTTAAAGGTACTGACTGCTTGCACCAAGCATTTGTCAAGTAAGATTTCTTGCTCATAAAGTTGTAGCGCATGGTGCCGATCACATTGTGCTTTAGCAGTAAGACAAAACCAATCTGTTAGATCGATCACATTTAGTGAGTCTATTATAAGAGCGAACTCCTAGAATTGAGCCTACAGATATTCTACCATCGTGTATCAGTGAGATTAAAGATTGTTGCTCAACCACTGCAAATAAAATTCATCAAGTACATCATTCCTAGTTGTGAATAAAAACAACCGACTATGGTATTCACTAACAAATCAGGAAACAGTCACCCAGCAAACCCTCTTCCAATGAAAAGAAAGGGAAAGAGAGGAAGAGGATGTGCTAGCAATGGAGGCTACAAAAGGTTAGCTTCTTTGTCTCAACCTCATTCTTCAGAACTCCAACTCCTATTGCTTACACCTACTGTTCAAGAGCAAGAAAATGATCCCCCAAGTGGCAAATTTTTGGGCAACCAAAGTCAGGTGCCAAGAAGCAAAGGCAACAACAAAGTTGACAAGGTTCAAACAAGTCCCTTCCTCAAAACAGAACTTGAAGGGAATGACTTGGAGAAAGAAGCTGGTGGGACAAAGCTACAGGTAAAAGATTTGGCCACATGATGCACACAGAAGAACCCACCATGCCATGGGAAATTGTTAACATGGACTGGGTAACAGGACTTCCACCAGGTGGGAAGAAGAACTACAATGCCTGCCTAGTGATAGTGGAAAAGATTCAGTAAGACTCCAATATTTTTACCATGTCATAAGGATGATACAGACTTCCCTGATGATATGGAATAGAGTCATTTCTTGGACAGGACTATTTAAAACCATTATAATTGATAGAGACCCTAAATTCACATCAGAATTATGGACAAACCTGTATAACTTATTTGGTACTAGACTGTCTTTTTCTACGGCTTACCAACCACAAACAGATGGTTTGGCAAAGAGGATGATTCAAACTCTAGAAGACATGTTGAGAAGGTTCTGTGCTTATGGCCTGGAATTTAAGGACTCAGATGGATTTACACATGATTGGGTCACCTTATTACCAGCACTAGAATTAGCATACAGAACATCAGTACATTCATCTACAGGTAAGACACCTGCTATATTAGAGAAAGGCTGGAATCCAAGGCTACCTCAAGATAGCTTAAGGAAAGATCTTATAGACATCCACCCAACAGCAGCCAGCTTTAAAACCATGCTTGATAAAGCAAGAAGGCATGCCCAAAAATGCATGGAAGATGCATTCCAATATAATAAAGATAGATGGGACCAGAAGCATAAGACCCCGTCATTCAAGATTGGAGATTTAGTCTTGATCTCTACAGTTAACTTCAATAACATTAAAGGACCAAAAAAGCTGAGAAATGCCTTTGCAGGACCATTTGTAGTCAAAGAACTACATGGGGAGAATGCAGTTGAAGTAGAACTGACAGGAGATCTAGAAAAAAAGCATCCTACATTCCCAGTAAGCTTACTGAAACACTACACTGAGTCAGATAAAGAACTATTTCCATTGAGGAAGGAAATCCCTGACACAGGAGTACCACCTTTGGAACAAGCAGAGGAGAAACAAGTTCTCAAAATACTTAAACAGAAAATCATGAGGGGAGTAAAAGACAAATTATACCTAGTCAGATATAAGAATCCTAGTCATGAAGATGAATGGCTCCCTGCCAAGGAAATTCCTAATGCAGAGAAATTCCTTAGAAGGTATAACCACTCCAAGAATTAATTATTTTGTAATAATTAATTCTTTTTTGGGAGAGGTAGGGAGTGTCAGCCTTAGAGATACTCCAGAGTATCCAAAAGACTGCTAAATGAATATTAAGTATTAAAATACTCCACATGTAATATAATATGTAGTAATATTATTTAATAAAACAATATTTCATAAGATTATAAAGGGGGTTGTCCACTGGAAGTATCCCCAAATTCCCACTCCTTCAAGAACTTTGTATATATTCAAACTCTTGAAGGACAAAAGGAATAAAAATTTATAGAATAAAATTAATGTATATTAAATTAGGGTTAAATATACATTTAGGGTAGCCTCAGAAATTTTATTCTACAAGCATAATCAATTTATTAAAACTTGTAGAAAAGAAATTACCACACTATGTCAAGAGTGTGGCACCTTCTACTAGTAGTATTCTATTTAAGGAGACACATGATGTAATTGGCTATAAATATGCATCATGATGCCATGGGACATAGAATATACATTATTTGAAATACCTTGAATTATTCCCATTACATCAGGGGAATAATTCTACCATGGTACACTAAAAGAGAGATTCTAGAATATTCTAAGGAGGGCCTCAAGGGGACCTCTAGAATATTTAAGGAGGCCTTCTCCTGCCTAGGATTGGTTCCTCAGCATATTCACCCCCAACAAACTAAGTGAGTACAGTGAATATTCTCCTCCTACTTTCAGAGTAGTCTTTTTTATTATCCAATCCAACCCTACCTTCTTACTGGAATTATTATTAAGTTGAGAGTTATCCCAGACTCAAAACTTAACTAATTCCTTAAAAAGTAGTTGCTGCAAGACCACCACCTCTGACTGTAGCCTTTCAGCTCAGGTGCTTGCCAGCTACTTCTTGCAATATTAATTATTGCTTCCAAACACTCTACAATAACATATTCTGTTATTGTCTCCTACAGTGCTCTCTTGATTATTCAAGTGTCTTTAACTGAGGAGTGTGGACTTTATAACCTCTTAAGTGGGAAGTTTGGACCACTTAATACTTTGAGGGTGACTAGGAGTAATCTTGGTCTTTAAACTGAGTCCTTCAGCACAGTGATAGTACTTGGCTTTTATATTATTAAGCCAAAGTTTCATACACATAGCTGACAATTGTACTTCACTGACCAAAAGGATTTCCTCTTGGTCAATGAGGTACAAAGAGTTCATCAACCAGAAGGAATCCTTTCTGGTCAATGAGACTGTTGCAACTCATTGAGTGGAAGGAATCCCTTCTGGCCAGTGAGGTAGGTGTACCTCACTGACCAAAAGGGTTTCCTCTTGGTCAATGAGGCACAGCCACCTCATCGACCAGAAGGGATTCCTTCCAGTCAATGAAGTCATTGTCCTAGAGGAACCCCTTTCAGTCACTGAGGTACAGCTTCCTCACTGACTGGAAGGAATTTTGTCTGGCCAGATCATGATGGGAGCAACTGCCCCCCCCCCCTCCCATATGCTTGACTCATTGAGGGGAGGTTTGGGGAGCCAACTTCCAAAAAATCAAAATCAAAAATCAAAATGAAAATGAAAAAGTGAAAAAGATTTGGAAAATGGCCGGACCCCTCCCAAAACCAACCCAAAAATTGGAAAGACAACTCCTAATGGACACCCATCAATGGTTGTTGGGAGTTGGTTTTATAACTCCCTTCAATTTTCCATGAGTGTCATTTTGCAAAAAAAAAAAATGTTTTGGTGCACTGCCAGTTACATGAGCCGGCTCAATAGGGGTTTGCCGGGGTCTTACCTCAGCTGTTACTTAGACGCTGATTGGAATTGATGTATCCATGTCTTCATCATGACCGGCTGAAGTGTGATTTCAAGAATCTGAATCTCTGAAATATATGTAGAAGTGCTTCCTGCTGAATACATTTATTTCTCATGCCCAGGCATGCCTCACAGATCCTTTGGCATGATGAGGGGAAAGCTTCCATCTGAGAGGTTTTTGTTGAGCTAGAAAAACAGCCATGAATCCCAGACCTTGTCGCATGTTCTGTTGACTCAAGGAAGGGTGCATCTGGGGTTCCATGGACCCAAAATGGCTGGAACCCTGCAAACAACCCCCGAAGTGGGGGGTTTTCACGTGTTTCTGGTGGCTTCAATCCGAGGGAATCGTATTCACAAAGAAAGTAGATCACTTTTTGAGCTCTCGTTCCTTAAGCAAGACCCACCACACCAATCCACCCCAAGACCCCCATTTCTCCTGCTCATTTCTTTGTTGTCCACTCCTAGAGCAATTCACCAAGCCTCAATACAGTCTTAGAGAAGCTGAACAAGATTGGAAAAGAAAATGGATTGGTTTTTGAGACTCAAGTGTTAACCAGCAATAACAACACTGGGAAAGGTTTCCCAAGTATATACCACCCTAGAACTCAATCAGAGATTAGTTTTTTTTGGAAGTATGAACAGGAAACCATCTCAAACTTGTTAAATCAAGACTGTTTAGGTCTTACATGTGTATGTATCATGGAAGTGTGCGCCAAGGTTTTCCAATTTAGCTTCCGAGCTCGAGTGGAAGATGTGCAGCTGAGATCAGAGGTTGATGTCCACCCAAGTGTGTATCAAGGTCATGATGATGATGATGATGTGTCTTGGACTCAATCTTCTCATCCAACATGCTTTGACCTCATTCCCTTCAACTCAACTTGACTGCACCTCTGAACCAGAGCCAAATAGATATAAGACGAAGGGGGCATCTTGAGGTCACCCGGTCCTTTCATGTTTTGCTTGGCAGCTCAGCTCTGACTGCAAGGAATCTGGAGCCGTTGGTTTGGTGATCTTGGTCTTCTGTCATTGATCTGTTTGCGCTTCAATCCCCCCAAAGCCTTGTAGTTTCTGTTCTTTTATTATTACTTTTTGTTCCTTGGAGAACAATTTTGTTTTCTGAGGATGAACGAGACGAGAAAGATATCAACTCAAAAAAAGTGGGGGGGGGGGGGGATTCCTTCAAGCGCGACTACTGGGCCGAGGAATCTGCATGGATGATCTTGAAGCAAGCGTCGAGGACGGCCGGACACGAGAGGGGCGATGGCGAGTCCGAGTCCGGCGAAGGAGCAGGGGCTGCGAAGCTGAGATGGACGAGGTTTCGGGAGTCGTCGTCGACGACTAAGGTGACCGACCCGGCGGCGGAGTCTTCTTCGAACAGACACGGGTCCGGTAGGATCGTCGACCTTTTTTTTTCCGCCCCAACGAAATGATACACACATAATTGAGGGTCAATAATCGGCCAATGAATGAGGGAAGGAGCGGCTTACCGATCGTATAGCGCAAACGTGTAGCCACTTATGCTCGTCCGGATCGCTAATGGAACGCACTCTGCATGGGTGGGGTTGGCAAGCTTGAGGCTCTGTGTCTCGTGATCGAAGCTGACGACCGGGATCCTTGCTTTTGATTTCCGCCCACAGATACATAGACAAAAGCCCAGGTCAGTCAGTCAACCAAAACAAAAAGATGAACCCAGAAAAAGGAGGGGGAAGTACCAGATTTGAGTGCGGATGTGGTAGCGGAAAGAGATGCGTCGAACAGGTTGCCGTCGTTCGACAGACAGACGATGTCGATGTACACCACCCATACCAGCTTGCCCGGCGCGATGACCAGCGAGTCCAACGGCACGAACCCCGAGCTGAATGTGAACATCCATTTTCAAAACCAATCCCTTCTCTAGTTATAAGAAGAAGAAAGAAAATAAAAGTACGAGATGAGGATGTCTTTGAGTTTGGTGGCCAGGATCTGTGCTTGGTCGGGCGGAGGACCGGGCTTGTATTTCGGACAACACATCGGGCCTAGCTCGACATTAGGCACTACGCACATATATCTTTCAGTTTTCTTCGTCTTCTTCTTTTTCAGTTGTATGTATAAGAAGAGAGACGGACCGAGGAAGCCTTGGTTGGGCTTGGCGGACTCGGGCTGGGCGGTCTCGAACTTGATGGCACAGAGGACGGATGTGTTTCCGATGGAGACGATGGTTGAGGCATGGGCACTGCTGATGACATCTGTGTTGTTTTCATTAGTCTTTTTTTTTTGGAGAGCAAGGAGGGAGGACAGACCGGAGTGCGAGTGGATGGGTCTGGATTGGTGGAGCGTCCGTCCGTCGGTTCTGAGTTTGTTGGCCAAGCAGGTCTTGATGAATTGGCTAGGCTGGAGTCGTTTGAGTTGTTCTACTTCGAATGGGTTGTTCATCCTTGTTGTTGTTGTTTTTTTTTTTGTTTTTTTTTGGTTATCCTTAGATTATTGAAGTTGGGATTGAAGGTGGAGTGGATGAGGAACCACTCTGAAACCAAACCATGCACTCGACATTCAGGATACTCCACCACCACCATCCAGGAATAGGAAACATACTCACAAGGACGAGGACCAAGACGAAGACTGGGTTCTGGTATCATCGATCACTCTCCAGCAGCCAACCCACTCCTCATCGTACTCCTCCAGGAAGGAGCTCGTCGGTCTTCCTGGGCACCACTGCCACTCTGGTAGGACTGCTCGGACTGGGATGGGCGATCGACAAATACCTCTACGCCGAAGCACTAGGAAGGACCCTCCGATTAGCCTACAATGCGTCAGCAGTACTCCTTTTCCTTCACTCAGCTTCCCCACCAGAGCTCTCGACACTAACAGCCATCCTATCTCGTTGTTTGTAGGGGCCTGATCATCCTGGATTACAAGCTCAACTTCAACCCAGACAGTTCGCCAGACGAGCTGCACGAACGAGTCTCGCAGAGGATCTCAAAGACCTGTCTCCAGAACGGCGGCCTGTACATCAAGCTGGGCCAGTCGATTGCCATCCAAGCCGCCATCCTGCCCGCGCCATACAAGAAGGCCTTCGAGGCCATGTTTGACGCCGCCATCCCGTTGCCCTTCGAAGATGTCTTGAGGGTCTGGAACCAAGAGTTCCCTGCCCAACCTATCGACTCCATCTTCGATCACTTCGATCCTGTCCCCGTCGCGTGTGGCTCTATCGCCCAGGTCCATCAGGCTACCTTGAAAAACTCCGGTCAACTCGTCGCCGTTAAGGTCCAACGTCCTGATATCCCCATCCAAATGGAACTGTGAACTTCCTTCTTTCTAATTCTCTTCCATCTCTCTTCAATCACTGACTCCCCCCTGTTCACCATTACACAGAGATCTCTTTGCTTATCGAAGCCTATTATACGTATACCAAAAAGTATTCGAATTGCCTGTATATTTTATTGCTCATTGTAAGTCGATTCTCATCTCTTTGTCCTTCGGCCTTTGAGACAATATGTTATTAAGTGCTTTTGGATTTTCTAGATGTATCCGATCAGATTCGCAAAGAGACGGATTTTGTTTGTGAGGCTAAGAACTCGGAACGGACGGCAACCTTGATCGAAAATGACCCGAGTCTGAAAGACCAGATCTATGTGCCGTAAGTGACTTTAGCTTCCAGATTCTCACGAAGAAACTAAATAAAAGAGCCCTCAACTGAAAAAAAAAAAAAAAAAAAAAAAACATTACACGATAAAAGCAAGGTACATTGGCCACTGACGACGGGCCGAATCCTGACGACAGAGTACGTGGAGAACGGATGCAAATTGACGGATGAAGGGGGCTTGCGGGGGCGGAGAGTGGCGAAGAAAGAGGCCATGGATCTCGCCATGCGTTTGTTTTCCCAGATGGTCTTCAGCTATGGCTGGCTTCATTGCGACCTCCATCCCGGAAACGTCCTGGTCTTTAAACGCAACGATGGAAAACTGAACTTGGTCCTTCCTTCCCTCCTTTTTTTACTCGAACAAAAAAAAAACACTCTTGACTCATCTCTCTATCTCTGCTTTCTTCCTTGTTGGTGTTGCTAGGCTTTGATCGATCACGGGTTGTATATCGCTTTACCCGACCAATTCCGGTGTGATTATTGGTCGGTCTTTTTTTTGTCGCTCAATAATTATGATCTGCTTAAACAGACTCTCTAAAAAGATGACGTTTTTTTGTTGGCAGTGAATTGTGGCGTAGTTTGTTCGTCTTAGATACCGAGTCAATAGAAGTCAGTATGTATTCTCCTTCTCTCACTCATCAAGGTCTAAGTTTTGCTTGACTTGCGCCAAAATTTAACACAATTGTTTGTGTGGGTGGGTGGCGTGATTATAGAGGATCGCTCGAGGATGGGGGTGGGTCCCACCTTTTTTTTGGATTTGAATGTTGGTTTATCGTCCATTCTGTCTGACTCCTTTTTTCGTCCCCGTTCATAGAATCGCAAACAGCGACCTATTCGGTAAGGTCGTTCTCATTCAAACCCTCACAATAGATAAGCTCTAGTAACAAATCAAGCAAGACGATCACTCATTTCGAACTTTGGTTGGGTAGCTTCGGCAACACTTTTGAGACCGTTTAAGGTCCGCAAACAACCGCCTCAACTTGGATCCGATCCACAGTTGTCTCAAGGCTCATCGAATTCGGCATACCAAAGTCAATCTTCAGAAACCTTATTTTCATGATCACTTTTTTTTTGAATGAGCAGATCACTTATTGTTTGTTTCGGGGGTTTTTTAGGTAGTTTAAAGATTAAAGAAACAATGAAGATGATCCTAGAGAATGAAGCGTTAATCCCACGAGTTAAACCGCCCATCTGCCTATTTTCCATGTTTCATTTTCTTATCTAAGCGCCTTAGAGTACTGACACCATTACGATTTTTTTTTGTGGGGCGGGGGGGGGATGTTTAGGAGTTAATATTTATTGTGAGATGTATGCGGATGATGCAGGGCAATAATCAAGCCTTGGGCAGTCCGACTAATCGGATCAACATCCTGGCCCGTCCGTCACTTTCTTCTGGCCCTCTTTCCTTCCTTCCTTCCTTCCTTCCATAAAAAGGAGAAGAAAGCTTTAACATGACTGATCTGGAGATTGATTGATTTATGATATGCAGATGGAGCGGCAGCGGGGATGACGATCAACCGGCCGAAGGCTTCTTCACTGATTTCGGAGCACGATGGGCTCACCAAAGTAGTCCAAGGATGGTTGGCCGGGATGCTGAAAGTCTGGCGGTTCCGGACGATGCTGGTGCTCGTTGACATCGGCTTCTTCTTCACCCAAGTGCGTCTTCCTACTTACTCCCTCAAAAACCCCCCCAAACATGTACTAGTCTTAAGATGGCCCTTGCTGGGTGGAACTGGGGTGATATAGGTCAGACAATGGTGGCTTACCAAGGTCCGGGATGGGCCGTCCTTCTTCACCTCTACCGGTCAGGCCACCAAGAGCAATAAGGAAGGCTTCGAGGATCTCTTGCAACGCCAATTGGAAAACCTTGCTAAGGAAGAATTCGGCGTGACCCTTGATGATTCCGCTTTCATGGGTTGATCCTCCTCATCTCTACATATCCACTACCAAACATACACATAATTTATATTATTTAATCTAATTATCAACGTGTATCAAATCTCCCATCAACCAGTACTTGACTTTTTTTTTCTTCTTCTTATCTAACGCCAAAAACCCTTTTTTTTCAAATAGGAAAACTATGTATGTAACTTTTCTTGACTGAGAAAGTATGTAGAGGGTTCCTTCTGCTTGAGATTTACAACCAGCGTGGTACTACAAATAGAAATTAGATATTCCAACTTAATGTATCTGTGATACATCTGTAGACTGACTACAATTGAATATGGGAAGCTGATTTCAGAGGAAGCTTTGGAGGAAAACTGAAGTTGTTGTTGACCGTTTATAGGCTACATACTCTTCACGGTTTGCAATTATTTAGTTATTTATTTATTTTTTTTCATTCGAGACAACATCTTGTGCGTGTTCTCTTTGTCGGTCTGGACTGAGAAAAGCTGTTGGTCTTCTTCTCTTCCTCGTATCATGATATTCTTCGAGCTTGTACAGCCTCTCCGTCGAACGCACGAAGTGCGGGAGAGGCTTGAGCCCAAAACGAACACGACTGGGTGTCACAGTTGATTTTTTTGGCTGTTTTTTGCGCCAAAAATCATAGAAAATCCAGCTTTTGGATTTCTTGAAAGCTGAGATGGAGTGACGATGCCCAACATGGAGGTCTTGACTTCTATCAAGAAACTTTTGGGAAAAAATGAAAACTACACAGTTGAAAAATTTTAAAGGAAAATTTGCCCAATGGCAAATTGGCTGAGCTTACATAAGCCAGTTTCAATCTCACTGCCTACCATGTGAGAACATTTTCTCAATTTGACCAACTTAAAAAAGATCCACCTCATCCAATTTTCAAGATGAAGTTCTGAAAATTGGATGAGGTGAGAGGCATCACCAAGCACCAAAAGCTTGTCTACTCAAATCGCCAATAGCTGGTGATATAAATGCTGTACATCCAGCTCAATGTGCGTTACACCAAAAGTGCCCAACCGTGACACGGGGGCCTGTTCGTGTTTGTCTTAAGTCCCTCCTTCGGAGGCTCGCGCTTCGCGCGAGTGGCGTTCCACGCCAGCCAAGGCCACCAGGCCCTCCGAAGCGAGGGACTTTGATAAGTTCGGATATTCTTGTTATTGGTCTTGTTCATCCAGAAAATACATAAAAACAAAAAAAAGAAAATCTGTAAACATAGAAACAAAAATCAAGATAAAAATATCCAAGTACGAACCCTCACACTTTGGTCCAATACATAGTTGCCACTGCCAGGGTTGTCTTCTGCTCATCCCCATCTTGCACTTCTGCCACTGATCCAGATTGTTTTACATATATCTAGGACTGCTCCTTCTGCTGAGCAATTGCTTGCATCCTTCACCATTGTATTGCCTGTTAACATCTGTCTCAAACAAGCAAAATATATCCAAATATATATCTCTCAAACAACCAACAATGCCACCTGCCAAACGTCGTCGAGGCCATCCCACCCTGGAGGAGCGGTCGAAACGCTCACATCCTGCTGACGAGCACACAGATTTCCTCATCTTCTCTAAACGTGTAGCCCGTATGTGTAACACTCTTTGTCTATTCCATCAATCCATTTTTCCAACAGGGTGCTGATGTTGTGGTGGGAAATCTTGCCGATTTTCAAAGCTCATCTTGCCGAGAAATATTTGGAGATTTTAGAGGAGCTTGTTGAACATTTTAGTCTGACGCCCGATCACATCCGCTCCGATATTATAATGCAGCTTGTCACCGGGCAAACACGGTGGTCATGGAAAAAGTTTCTACAGTTGTTGAAGCTCCAGGAAGACGAAAACGATCCAATCCAAGAAAAGCTCATCCAGCTTGGTTTCCTTCGACGATACCCAGATTACTATGAAAACAACTCAATAACTCGATCAACCAGAATTTCGGTTCTAGAAGTATCCTTGGAGGATGGCCTTGCCCTCTTGAAACCAACAGCGTCAAAACGTCATCGAGGTCATCTCACCCTGGAGGAACGGTCGAAACGCTTACATCCTGCTGACGAGCACGAAGATTTCCTCATCTTCTCTAAACGTGTAGCCCGTATGTAACACTTTGTCTATTCCATCGATCCATTTTTCAACAGGATGCTGATGTTGTGGGAGAAACTTTGGCAATTTCAAAGCTCATCTTGCCGAGAAATATTTGGAGATTTTAGCGGAGCTTGTTGAACATTTTTGTCTGATGCCCGATGACATCCGCTCCGATATTGGAGGACTTCCCGTTGGATCTGGGACCCTTGCAGAAGTCGATCTAGACCCTAAATCTCTTAATTCTCGCAGAGAAATTTGAATTTTGAGGCTCTAAACCGGCTCTGGGAGACCCGCAGATGTTGACGGGAAGTCCTCCATTATAATGCAGCTTGTCACCGGGCAAACAAGGTGGTCATGGAAAAAGTTTCTACAGTTGTTGAAGCTCCAGGAAGACGAAAACGATCCAATCCAAGAAAATCTCATCCAGCTCGGTTTCCTTCGACGATACCCAGATTACTATGAAAACGACTCAATAACTCAACCAACCAGAATTTTGGTTCTAGAAGTTTCCTCAAAGGATGGCCTTGCCACCTTGAAAGACGCGACTGAACCAGTCATCTTATCCAAGGATGTCATTGAAAAAGGCTATCTCTCAGACTATGTTGGATATGATGACATTGTTATCCCGATCCTCCGGACCCTTAACCAGCATGCATCAGAATGGCAGCAAACCAAATACTTGGCGCCCTACACATCGCTCATTGGACCGACGATGTCCGGGAAAACACGCTTTCTGATGGAAGTGGCGCAGGAAGTTTGTGTCGTGTATATTTGCCTCCGGCCCTCCAACTCTAGCGGGGAACCAAAACGCTCCCAGCTTGCAACTGAAATGCTCCAAACGCCCCCCTTAGCCGATCTTGAAGGTTACTACATCAAACTTATCACTGCAATCCTATCCGTCACCAACAACTTTTTCAAGTCTGCCTCAAAAAAACAGGACCGAACAACAACCTTGCAAGAGTGGTACAAGTACCACACTTCAGCCAACACCAATTTTTACTGAACTGTCCAGTCAACAGTCAAAAACTTGTCTCACGGTACAGATGCTGTCTCCCAGCTTACCTCTGCAGCTCGGACACTCGCCAAAACTCGAGTGCTGAAAGATTCTCCCTTGAAGGTAATGCTGGCAATTGACAAAGCTAGTGCTTTACTTGACAAACCAGACAATCGAACGGATTCATCTGCAAGCCCAACTCAAGAGGTGCCGCTGTTCTGCTTCTTTTGCCGTGCTTTGAGAAATATTCCAGACAATTCTGGTGTCTTTACTATCCTAGTCGACACTAATTCTCGTGTCGCTAATTTCAATCCAAGAGGCGAAGATGACCCTAGCTCTCGACCTATGGGCCTCCGCGCTGAACCGTTCAAGGTGTACCCCCCCATTTATGAACTACGCACCTTTGATCGGATGGTCTCCCCTAAACCACCAAGAACCTGGAAACATTTGTTCTTGCCGGAGCGACTTTGTAACTACGGGATTCCTTTCTACGGAATATACCTCAAACTTGCGCTAGAGGCTCAAGTTGCGGAAGACCCCGCTGCCGCTGTTGACAAGATGGCAACATATGCTTTGAAGAAGCTTCTCTGCTATCAAAACGCAGGCCCGATCGAAATTACCGAGTCTCGAGCACTTGCCTTACTTGGTCCAACGATTGGAGTTCCTCTCCATGGCCAGGCGCGTCAAAACGTGAAACTTACAGCCTCTCATGCGGCCCATTGCGGCTACATTGATGCGGACCGTGATTGTCAATATAGTTTCTATCCATCACAGCCGATATATGCGTTAGCTGCAAACAACTATCTGCAGAAAAACGAGGACGTGCTCATATCTTGTATCAACACTCTCACCGCTATCCTATCCCAAGGTCAAACCGGCACAGGAGACGTTGGCGAAATTGCTAGCAGAATCATTCTACTCTGCGCCATGAACAAAACTGCAGATGATATGAAGACTGCAAAGAAGCCCGCTGATATGAAGATTGCGAAGAAAACGATGGTCAATCCGGTACCCCCGTAACACAAATCATTTCCAGAACCTGTCCCAGTCACCAAATTCTTGGAAACCCTTACCGGATTATCGGCAGACGAGCTACCTCTGGGTTTGATCAATGATGATCTCAAGACTAAGCTGTTTGACGAAGGAGTGATGTTCTGGAATCATTTCATGCATTGCTCGCATAGACCAACAAGTGAATCTTTGCTCGAATGCATGCATAGAGGGTTGGCTTTACAATGTCGGCCAAACCAAGAAGCGTTTGACCAAGTCTTAACCGTCTACTTGAAACAAAAATCTAAAGCTAAGTTGGACGAGGCGAATGTTACATTTTGTGGGATACAGGTCAAAAACCGAAAAGACGACTCTCAGTTGAAAACTGCCCAGCAAAACATGAACCCCGAGACAGCTCGGATCAACATGAAAGAAGCAGACAACCCCTACCTTGCCCTGTATTTTACTTTCCAAAAGAATCCCCCTAGAAAGGACAATGGTGAAAGGAGGGATTGCTACAAACTACCTTCTGTTGGGCCTCCAGATCATCGACAGGCGTCCTTGGTTTTCTATGGACTTGATTCTTTTCAATTCCTCAGTCCTGGATTGAAGAATGCCTTGAAGGAACTACTCAATATTCGCACAGGTCTTGTGTGGCGACATGGGAATCGTCGAGCTGGACAAGAATATGCCAAAGACTTCTTGCTGCGCGCCAATGCTTGTCAACCGAGTTGATGGTTTGTGTCATCTCTCACATTTCTTCCTATTCTAAATGCTTTGTAATAATATTGTTAATCTTTTGTATTTTTCATGCCTCAGCCTTTAGGTTTCCACACATCTTTTATTGGCTTTTATCCCATCTTAAGGTTGTATCACTGCGCTTTGCTGATCACATGGCACTGACTTGGGAAGGTATCCTCACAACTTTGGAAAGCTAGTCTCAAACGTTTCATTCAACCAAGAAAATGCTAGGTTTATGTATATGTTCATCTAAATAACCATAAATTAGTTGACCATCTTCCCATTCTGTCTTCTTTGATCTGCACCATATTTTGGGTCCAACTTGCTCAATCTGCTTCCTTCTTATCTTACTCCTGATGTGAGTTTTGTTATGACCATTTACTATAGTTTAACTCATGTTGATCTGCCACAATTAAACATGAACAATTTTCTGCTCAAATTTTACAATGTGATCTTGCCTCCATTTCCTCTATCTACTTGATTTTTATTTTTGGACTTGTGTATTTTAAAGGACATAAGGATGTCAATACATTTGAGAAAGAAAGGAACAAAGGCTTCTCTTCTCAGCAAGTCATGTCAAGTGCCCAGAAAGGCAGTTTCAATTGACTCACAGGAAAAGATGGCAAGGCCAATGATGCTCAACACCAGTAGGATATTGGTTCTTATACAAGCCATCTCACTGTCACGTACCCAGCCCAGAAGCCTCAGAATTGGGCTGAGTCAATTTGAATTTTACCCAAAATCATTTCATTTTTTTTGCATATTGATCACTTCTGATTAAATCTGATGTTTTGTGAAGAAAGCAATGATTGGAAATGAATTGGTGATTTCCTTTTGAGCAGTGCACACTATTTATTGCAAAACACACTATTAGAAAACTCCAGCACAATCCTCAGAGGAACAGACCCTGAGCAAATTTTTCTCCTTCAATTACTTTTCCTTAGATGTGAGTGGCAAGTGTTCACAAAGTGGCCTTTGGCACCGAGTCCATTGCCTCCAGATCATTAAAGTTCACTATCTAGAGGCCGTGGGGTCTGCCCTTGCCCACTGGCGGATTTGAAGGCAGGCTGCAGATGGCTTCATCATGGTCCCAAATCGAGTCCTCGTGAGCATCTAGGCTGTCATCCTCATCAGCCTGATCCGGCAGTTCTTCTTGGTCCACGCGGCCCTTCCTTGATTGACGTGCCCCTCCTCACGCATCGGCGCGGAGCAAATCTCATCAGCCCGGCAATCACAATTTAGGCAATGGGTGTTCGTACGGAAACGCCTTGCCCAGTTCTTTGCGCCGGTCCCCAGAGGACATGATTTGCAGCAATATTTCCCGTCCGATATGACGTAATCTGGCCGACCGGGTGTGCGGATCCATTTGGAGGAGGACCGAGGTCAGTGTCATTGCGCGGTACAAAAAAATAGAAGAGAGCAGCCTACCGTTGGTTTCCACGCGCTCCGCTGGCACATTCATGAGGTTGGATAAATCGACTGCTGGGCGGCTGACCACGTGTTGACCGATTGATCCTATGCTCCAATTGCAAGCGCCAGGCTGGCTGGGTCTCATTTCCAGGCGAAGGGAATGCGCCAAGTCTGGGGTTCTTTGCATATGTGTGAGCCCTGTTCAGCCTGATTCATTTTTACAGAAAGGGCACCGCGGGACTGGCTTGCCACCCAGGTTGGGGTGTCAGAGTTACATACATACAGGTGCGAGGGTACATACATATCAGAAGGCCAACAATGTGTGGCGCCCATGAATGGTCGCCCCCAGGACACAAACTGGCACAATGCCGGGGCGGACCAGACTCAATGTCAACACAGTTCTGCACCTGTGACGGTGCCGGTGTTGGTAGTGTTGTAACCCAGTTACTGGGTGACCTCCAAACTCACTAGACCCTAGTGCATGTAGCTGGAGTGAGCGAGTTTGAGATAATAATAATCATCATTATCAAAAACCACATCAGGTAGATGGACCACGGTCAGGCAACTCGGTGGTATCATGTCCCGGGGCGGCGTTGGGTCGGCCAATTCAGGTTGCACTTTTGTGGCGCTCCTGGATTTCTCGATTCGCTGGGCTGGTTACTATAGGCTGGCGGCCACAGGTGCACCTTGAGGAATTGATCTCAACCCACATATTTACATCAACTCATATCCCCTCCAAGCCAACCAATATTGAGAGTCAAGATCATCGAATCCAATCAGATGTGCTCAAATCTCTTTCCCAAGTCGCTTCGCTTCAGGTATGATATTTGCCATTCCTCTTAATCATCCTATCAGATCTCGCCATCAACGTCCTGATCATCTCCCATAATTCCTTTCCAGGTGTTTTGCTGCAAGTCGGGTGTCGTCGTGAATTTGCTCAAGGAAGCCTAATCCCTTCTGTCAATTTGGTTTGCTTACAGCCCCTTCTCTTTCCAAATCTTCCATTTGATCATTCTCTCTCTTCTTTCATTTGAATCCAAACAACATCAGCTTGTTCATCAGTAAAGAATGAGAGACCAACTATGTCTGTTTTGTATGTCCCCCAAATCAAATTAGACGCTTCATTGATTGCCATGCTCGCTTCACTTTAGGTACGTGTGTTGTTGCTATTGTCCTATTGATTGACTAATTTTCCATGTCAATCAGGAATTTGCTAAGTGTTTCTCGTTGTGGAACTACTCTTGCGAGGAATAGAGCTTGAGAGGGATAAATGCTTTAATGGGCTGCCTCTCTGATAACAAGAAAATATAAGAGTATGGACTCTTAAGGAAAAAGGTGTGGCTGTGGAGATTTCTTGAGGATGGTATGTCTAATATTTCTTATGGTTACTAGTCTAAATAAACTTGTCACAAATCAAGGTATCCCAAATGTTGATGGGCAAATACCTGTCTAATAGTGGGTGATCAGTTATCTGAATTGCTGGGGCAGGCTCTGATGTGGAACAAATGAAGAGGAAAAACAAAGCTCCTTATATACAAGATTCTGGGGAGTGGCCAATTTGTGGTTGGAAGATGGATGGAACAAAATGGAACAAGGAATGAACAAGGAAGAAAATTGAACTATGGACAATGTGGCCTAATTTGGTGTGGCACTAAGATAAGATAAGACTAGACTGAAACCAAAGAAAGAGCCAAGCTAAGATAAGATAATGAATTCAGTCTGAAACAGAGAGAGGCTTGGATAATCTTATCAAGGGGAAGAGGTGGGGGTAATTATTTCACCCAGATGGGGATTGAACAGACAATGGGAAGAAAGGGCCAAAAGAGGGCTAGTATGAAACATGGCTGTTGTGTGGGAATTCTTGGGATAAGATGGAAGGAGATAAGAGATAAGAAATATATTTTAGAAGGGTTTGATGTTATATTGAGAAGGGTTACTAGTGTGTAGCTGGTGTGTGAGCTAAGTCTTATCAATAATGAACTAGGAATTTGGTCTTGGGTTTCATCTGAGGGGTTTCAAAGGTGTGGAAGATGTCTTTACCTATGAGGGGGGTACTTGTGTAGATGACTGGTGTGTTGGATTTGTTTGAGGGCCTGGGGAATTCCTGAGGGGTCTTGGGTCTGTGATTCTTGTGTGATATGTAATTGTGCTGTGCCTTGAGGTTCAGGATTGGCTTACCACATCGTCAAGGACTTAAAACGAGCCGCTCACGATTCATCACTACACAAAGCTTGATATCAACCTTATCAGATGCCGCATTCAAGAGGCTTTTCAGCGAGCCCCCCCTTCTGAAAGCCTTTCTCAATAGTATTTTTGACAAGGAAGGATTCACCATCAATGAAATCAAACAAACTGCAAAACTTGTGTGTTCCCCTCCAGCGAGTCAAGAGCCTGTATCAGTAGCCACGCAAGAAGTAGTCTCTCAGCAACAGTCGCGAGGGTCAACAATATTCCCCCCAAATACCTTCCCATTGAGGATGTAGCTGTCGATGAAGTTCAGCAGACCATATGGTACGATGTTGTTGCAGTAACCCAAGACGATACTGTTGAGGTCTAAGCTCCGTAGCTCTAGACCACCTGGTACCCAAGATCGAAACACCGATGACATCATTCTGGCCTGAACTCTGAAAACGGTCAAAGCTCCTGCAATGACATCATTGCGCTTGATCCTTCTCCCTTGTTCTCGCTTCCCTTATCATTCCCTCTCTTTCGCCGATTATTGTTCTTTCTCCTCAGGACTTCATCTCATACATTCCTCCACTGTCGAAATCCCTACTTGATCGTGTTACAAAATCTTACTCTCTAAATAGTTATTTATCCTCGTCGTTTCAGTAAGACGAACCTTACATCTTCCTTCTCCGACTTCCACCCGCTCTCGCATCTTATTCTTTTTATCCTCGTATCGAATCTTTCCCTTCCATTCGACAACTCCGCCGACTACCTCTTCTCTTCTGGTGTTCCCAATCATCGTAGGTATTCGTCGATCTTTCTCTCACTAGTGTCTTAACATTAACCCACTTTCTTTTGTTAGCTCTTTCTATCTTCTTTCATTTGCCATACAAATCATATTGTTGTCTTATTCACCTAGCCATCTACTGCTTTTAGGTGATTATTTTCTCTCCTTTTTTCTTTCTTTTTCTTCTTTCTACTTTGTATTTCTTTGCTGGCACTCATGCGAAATACAAATCTTTTAGTCTATTCATTCACAGATTTACAGTCTCGATCGCTCGATTAAACCGAACGACCCATCAATCAAGACAAAGCAGTAATGGCGGACAACAACTCCGAACAATCAATAAAAACAGAACATCTTTTACCGATTCTCAACGGAAAGAATTACCCTTCCTGGTTTGGCCGAATGAAAGTTCAGTTACGTGGCAAGGATCTCTGGTCGGTTTGCATTACTCCTCCCGCCGATCCAATCACCACGACACCTGTCTCAGCATCGACAATCTCTGCAAACACTACTGCAAGTGATCGTGCAGTCTCAATTATTGTCCCTCGCCTCAGTCAACGATGCTACAACGAATGTGTCAACAGCACCACCATCGACAGCGCCTTTCTACTCTGGAAGAAAATTGCTG